TGACTACAAAAGTAAAGGTAAATGATTAGTAACCTATCCCTCTTTAAACAAGGGAGAGAGAATGTTTAAATGAAAGTTTGAGGAACAGGAACCTACTTGGACAACAGAGGGTGGGTGAGTAGGAAGACGTTGGAGAGAAACTCTGGACATCCTCCATTTACGTTCAGCTGTAAACAGCATGTGTGTGGTTTGGGAACATGGCTCTGATAATCAGCCAACAAATTCCAACTCCTTTATAGGACAGAGTAGGGTTTCCCAGGTAGAGAGTCTCTGGAAGCAGACAACCACATTGTTGTCTCAGGAAGTGACTTGGTGGGTTCGAACCACAGACCTTTTTATTAATAACTGAGTGCCTTAGCTGTTGTACAACCATGGTTTCTTTAAAGGAGCTTTAAAGCAAAAGCCCAAACCCTTTGCTGTTGATTCTATTCCAACTCATAGGTTTCAGGACAGAGTAGAACTATTTTTTAGGGTTTCTGAGATTTACAGGCGCAGACATCTTCCTTTCTCCTGAGGCACGACTGATGGATTTGAACCGTTAACCTTGCAGTTAGCAGCATATTACTTAACATTCACCACAGAATTCATTAAGTGCAACCAAAGTAGACTATTGTGATAATTAACAGTTTTGTATCAACTTGACTGGGCCAGGATTCCCAGTGGTTTGGCAGTTGAGATGTGGTTGTTCCCATGGTGAGATCTAATACAGTGTAGTTGACTATGATGATTGGCTATGAACTGTGTAGTTAACGCTGTGATGATTAGCTATGAACAGGCGTAGTTAATGCTGTGATGATTGGCTATGAGCAGGCGTAGTTAATGCTGTGATGATTGGCTATGAGCAGGCGTAGTTAATGCTGTGATGATTGGCTATGAGCAGGCTAGTTAATGCTGTGATGATTGGCTATGAGCAGGCGTAGTTAACGCTGTGATGATTGGCTATGAGCGGGCGTAGTTAATTATGATGATTAGCTATGAGCAGGCCTAGTTGAAAGAATGTTTTCTTGGGAGAATAGCCTGCTTCCAGTATAATGGATACTTGGGTGAAACTTGCTTGCTTTCTGCTGGGTCTGAATCTTGCATTTGACTCGTCCTCCAACCTCTGCCTCTTTGGACTTGAGCCCATGACCTGCTTTATTACCTACCTGCCTGCCTGCCTGCCCACCTGCCCTGCCTGGAGATCTTGGATCTTTTTCTTGATATAAACTTCTCTTTTATATAATGTATATATTAGTCACTGGTTTTGATTTTCTAGAGAATCCAGCCTAAAACTTCCTAAGACTTCTGATTGTTGTCTTTTCCTTTTTTTTTTTTTAAAGAAGAAACCAATAAGTTAGGAATCCTGTGGCTCTGTAGGCTAAGCACTGAACTGCTAACCAAAAGGTCGGCGCTTCAGACCCATCAGCCACTCCTTGGAAATCCTATATAGGGTCACAATGAACTGGAACTGACTCGACGGCAGTTAACATTAATTGAAAGTTATAAACATTCCAAATATAAGTTTTCATCTCTGCTTTCTTGTACCAGCAACAGTATATTATTGTTGTTGTCAGGTGCCATCGAGTCGGAACCGACTCATAGCGACCCCATGCACAGCAGAACGAAACAATGTCCGATCCTGGGCCAACCTCACTACCGCTGCCACACTTGACGCCATCAATGATGCCACCTGACTGATCCATCTCGTTGGGGGTCTTCCTCTTTTTCTCTGACCCTTCATCTTACCCAGCATGACATCCTTCTCCAGCAACTGTTCCCTCCTGACATTATGTGCAAAGTGCTTTTCTCCCCCGAGCTTAACTCTATTCACTTCATTGTGGTCAACTCTACTTTGAGGAGGCATTTTTTCCCCCAGTCGCATTCTGAGTGCCTTCGCACCTTCTAGTCCTGTATCTGACAATGTTTCTCTGCTATTCATAGAGTTTTCAGTGACTAGAGATTTGCAAGTAGTTTGTCACTCTTTCTTCCTAGTCTGTCTTTGTCTGGAAGCTCATCTGAAACCTGTCCACCATGGGTGACCCTGCCGGGTATTTAAAATACCGGTGGCATAGCCCTCAGAATCACAGCAACTCAAGCCGTCACAGCACGACAGGCAAGTGGTGGCTGTTTGGTTTTATGTTGATACTGTCACTTTAAATTTCAATGTCAGTACATTAGAAGATACTTATGGTCATATGTAACCCAATATTGAATAAGTGGGATATGGTTATTCTACAGTCCTAATAATTACCATTTAAAATGGGGTTTTAGAAATGAAAGTTTATACACTTAAAACTTAACAGCAAAATAAAATCACATCTATTTTGTACAATAATTCAAAGGGCAGCAAAACTTAATTGGCAAGTTTAATTGACAACGAGCACATTAGAGGCAAGCTCTATTAAGGATGTTTAGGCACTGTTAACGTGAGTTATTAAGTACCATTGGTCGATTCCAACTCAGTGACTCTGTATTGCGTTCCCAAGGAGCAGCTGGTGGGTTTGAGTTTGCTGATCTTGCAGTTAGCGGTCCAGTGCTTATCCTACAGTATTGTAAAGTGTAGAGTTGGTCCCAACTCAGGGCAGCACCCTGTATAGGGTTTCCAAGGAGCAGCTGGTGAGTTTGAATCACCAACCTTTGTGGTTCAAACCAACTTGTAGTCCAGTGCTTCTCCTACAGTACCACACCTGGACTCCTATAGTGTTAAGTGCTACTGAATTGGTTCTGACTCATAGAGTGACCCTGTATAGGGTTTCCAAGGAATGGCTGGTGAGCTTGAACAGCTGACTTTGTGGCTCAAACCAACCTTGTGGGCCAGCACATTACTCACAGGGCCACACACAGGCTAAGTGGAAGGCATTGAGTACTACCTGGCTGTATTTTAGACTTTTTCACTACCGTTTTGAAAGCATGTGCTTGCATCGTCTTTCCTCAAAAGCCCTACTTCCTCTAGGAAACAAGAGTTGACAGGTTTGATAAACTCTTAGGAAGCACTCATTTGTATGAATACTGTGTTCTCTGATAAAATTACCTGAGTCTGTGGTACTTTCACAAAAGTTATTACTATTAAGAAAGATGAAAAATCTTGAATTACCATTTCAACATAATGATTGGGATCTTGCTTTAAAATTCAAGTTGATTTGTAGATATCCTCACTTAATCTTGTTATAGGACTAGGTTCTGTGATTTGCATTTAACCAAGTTGGTACAAGAGCCCTGGTGTGGCACTCTAGGATAAGCACTAGACTAGTAACCACAAGGTCAGCAGTTCAAACACCCGGAGCCACTCTCAGAAACTCTTGAGTTGGAAATGACTTGATGGCATACGACGACGACAGCTTGTCACCCTAGTGCAGTTCTGGAAATCTTAAATACCCAAGTGGTCCTGAGAATCTTGTAGAAGTTTGCACTGCCCTATTTTTGTCATTTGTTAAGTGCTGTTGAGTTGGTTCCGACAAAGCAACTCTTAAGTTTCCAAAACTTTATTTTTTCACAGGAGCAGAAAGCTTTATCACCCTCCCGGGGAATGGTTGGCAGATTCAAACCAAGAATCTTGTGGTTCACAGTTCATCACACTCTTCATTCTAGTCAGTAGTGGTGGTGAGCTGTGGAGTCACTTCTGACTTATAGCAGTCACTAGTAGTTTGTGGCCACATTTCGAAAAGCACAGCCGATTCAGTCAGGAGAACTGAATGCAATTCCACTACCACTACTAGCTGGGTAGCTTTGAAAAAGCCTCTTAACCTTTCTAAACCCCAATTTACTCATTTTGATCAGGTAAAAATCTATGTTTAGGCTTTTTGTGAGAATTCAATTAAAATGTACAAAGCATTCAAATGTTAGTTGAAAGGAAATAATATAATTGAAACAGTTACATATTAAGCACGCATTGTTTTCTCTGATCTCTGTTCCATTATCTTACTGACTGGTGTTTCCACCAGCAGACAGAACTGCTCAGTGGATCCTCAAATACTACAAAGACCCTGAACGCTGGTTTGAAGGCCATCATGGAAGCACAGCTACGTGACAAAAACGAGTTCTTTCTCTGGGAAGTCCACCTTCTTCCACTGAGCTGGCAGCTTTCCTAGGAGGATGAAGAACTACAACAGCAGTGAGGTGTAGCTGTTTCCCCAGCTCACTTCATCCCACAGTGTTGGAAGCACTGCTCTAGTTCAAAGTCTAGATGATATTAGGAAACCCAGGACAGGTTGGCACTTACACGGCATTAAGCAAGATCACAGATGACAATTTGTTCTTTGATTAATCATTATAGTTACTATTTATTGAGACCTTATAATGTCAAACATGTACTGCTTTAAGCTTTACAGCAATCCTGAGAGAGAAATCATTTTAGACAAGGAAATAATGGTTCAGTGTATGAAGTGGCTGAAATCACAAAATGCCAAAAGGCTAGCTTGCAGTCTAACTCGCAGCTTCATTCTCTTTAACACTGTAGTTACCATATTTTGGAAGCAAAACTATTCCAACAGAGGTGTCTAAATAAGTCAAGGTTAGTGACTGACTTAGACTACCAGCCGTGGTTCCCAAAGCTCCAGAAGATAAAAAAGTCGTTTTAAGCCACCAAAATGTACTTAAAGGAAACAGTTTACCATACCAGAAAAAGCTCCCCCCATGTAACTGTCACAGAACATTTTAAAAATTGTTGGTACACCATAACCACAAAGAGAAAATACTGGCTCCAAAGATCCCATACATTTGATATATACCATAATTCTCCACACTAGCACAGGCTTGGAGACGGAAATCAAGACCCCCTAACCTGCTCACCTGGGCTAGTATATAATCAATTAGATGGAAATCAAGATCCCCTAACCTGCTCACTTGGGCTAGTATATAATCAATTAGAGTTTAGACATTTGTTCCAAGCCCGGAGCCATTATCATGCAGCAAGTTTGCTGAGCTGCACATTACCTTTCTGCCCCCAAGAATCTAATCACTTCCTGGGAAACCAAGATGCTGGTAATTTGAGACAGAATAAAGGAAAAGACAGAATCAAGGTTTTATAAACCAGAGAGTGTTCTGTTTCTGTTAGGTAGCGGGATCTCTTCATATGTTATTTTGATAATAGGGAATTTCATAGGTAAAAACCAATACTCAAAATTATAAAACAAATAGAATTGTCTGTGCAAAATCACGGCATCAAAAATCTGCAAAAGACTCAATAAAAATTCTTTAGTAGACAAATGTGGTTTGAAAGGGTAATAAAATCTTTTGATGGCTAAAGCGAGAGTCTTGTTGCCTGTTGGCCCAAAAATGGATGTTTCATTTCCCAAATAAGTAGGCTCTCCACTATAAAGAAAAATTCTCGTATAGTTGGTTTCTATCTTCTTGAATTCTGCTCCAAGTTCAGCCAACTTCTTGTATGTCCTTAACACAAATTTAGAACAGTCATAGGATTCAAACCATGTCTCCGCTCCTTTTTCTGGGCTGGCTTGGACAGTCCAGGTCTCATAATAAATACCTGTTTCATTGTCCTGTTTTACCCACTTGGCCATTTTGTTAAACATGTTTCCTAGAAAGACAAAAAAATTACCCATATGAATATCAAACTTAGTCATAAACTTAAAGTAAAATATTCTAATTGTTGTTACCAAGTGCTGTTGAGTTGGTTTCAACTCATAGCGACCTTGTATAGGGTTTCCAAGGAGCGGCTGGTGAATTTAAATTGCTTACTTTGCCGTTCAAACTGACCTTGTGGTTTAGTATATTATCCCAGAGTGCCACAACAGGACTCCAACCTAATGAGATGAAGATTTGGAAATTTAAAAAAACTTTTATTCATGAACCTAATTAAGACTCATGAATAAACACATTAAATTATTTTTTAAAACCTTCATCTCACATTAGGAGTCTATTTGAAATTTATATTTCATTATTCAAAATGTAAGGTATACTGAATTGTCAACATTACATGATGTAGAAAGAGAAGTTTCATACACATTCTATTATCATTTAAGTTGTTAATCAAAAGTGAAATTATACAAAATGCTGATGCCCTTTTTCTCGACCCTACACAGCAAACCTTGGATTCTGAGGAAAAGCAAAGCAAGAGTTATGGAAGAGGAAAAGTCAAAGACAAGAAAAATTGGCAGGGAGGGAAGATGTGGAGTTTTTCGGTTGGAAGTAAAGAGCTGCATGTGTGTGAATTTGCCTGTGGGGAGGATCCAGGAGGCTGGCCCACAGTTAGTACAAGAGGAAACACACTGGCCTGTAGTAAGCAGAATTTCAACAGCTGCAAATATAGATTTTTTAAAAATCTATATTTGCAGCTGTTGAAATTCTGCTTACCACATCCTATATTTGCAGCTGTTAAGATTCTGCTTGCAACAACCCCACCCAACACATGAATCCTCCAGTGAATCAGCTAAACTAGAAATGTTTTTGGCCAAATGCAAGATGTCTAATCCTAACCTCTACCTCTCAGGACACCAGAAGAGTGTCCCCAAATGCTCAGGAAGCATGAACTCAACAACAAGGTCACAACTTCCATCTGGGTACTTGTCACGTGTAAGAGAACTGCGGTGCTATAGAATAAGTACTGGATTACTAACTGTAAGGTTGGCAGTTCAAACCTACCAGCCACTGTTGAGGAAAGAGACTGTCTGCTCCCATAAAGATTTAATCTCAGAAACCCTATATAGGTTCATTTTGAATTGGAATTGCACTGGTTTTGGTTTGGAATTTGTTGTTGTTAAGTGTCACTGAATCAGTTCTGATTCATAGTGACCCTGTTAAGAGTTTCCAAGGAGTGACTGGTGGGTTTGAACCACCGGCATTTCAATGATCAGTCCAGTGCTTATCCTACAACGCCAGGACTTCTTGGTTTGGAATTTTTTGTTAAGTGCTGTTGAGTCAGTTCTGACCCATAGTGACCCTGTATAGGGTGTCAGAGGAGCGGCTGGTGAGCTTGAACCACTGACCATGTGGTTCAAACTGACTAGCAGTCCAGCACATTAACCCGCAGCATCACACCAGGACTCCTGGTTTGGAATAGAGGGAACTAAAAATGAAACCCACTGTTGTCAAGTCGATCCTGACTCAGAATAACCCTACAAGACAAAGAACTCCCTAGGGCTCTGAGACTAAGTCTGGATGGAAGCAAAACGCCTCATCCTTCTGTGGAGCAGCTATTCGAATCACCAACCTTTCGGTTAGCAGTCCCAGGCTTAGCCCACTATGCCACCATGGCTCCCTCTAACAGCTAGGCCCCAGCATTCACATTGCCACTGTGTGCAAACATTTTTTGGGTACTTCTACTTGATTTCATAAAATTATTACTTCATTTCCTGCAAAATGAATAGAAAAGCTGCCTGTATCAATTTCAGGGATTAAAATTGTGGCATAGTTTAAATCCTGTTTTCTCAGAATTAAGGAACCTGTTTTTAGAGATCTTGAACTTGAGTCACTATTGTACTTAAGAGATAAGAATGTTTCAAATCACTGTTTGGTAACATGAAGAAAGGTCAACGAGAGGATTCATCACAAGGCAGATGGATGACTTAAAAGATTTAAGTCTTGGCCTATTACAAACCATGTTACAGGAAATAGTGACCACAGTTCATATGTTCATTGAACATACATTTATGCTAGAACTAAGAATCTTTGTGTAATGAAGTTGGTAGAAATGGCGAAAGGAGAGCTGAACCAGCCAGCAACGAAAGGAAGACTGTTTATTTTACTGAATATTGTTAAAATATGAGCTTAATATACCGTAGGGATAGTTTCCGGTATATCAAGTACAAGGTAAAAGATCACAAGTAGCATCATGTATTCTGCTAAATAATCTCCAGGTTACATTTATAAAAACCTCAGTTCTGCTAAATCTGCTTCTGTGACTTTAAGAGACAGGCCTTGCTGGGCCTAAGTTACTCAGGATGGCGAGTATAGGCAGGAAGACCCAGATTACGAATGCCTGACTTACATATAACCCAGTTACAAACCAACTCCTATAAAGTCTATTATATTAAAAACTTGAAATACATATTATGGCTCATAGCAGCAAATAGCTGCTACTTTGAAATGGGCACCAAAACATTGGTTGCGACACTGACTGCAGAGTAACAGCGTCCTTGCCACTTCCACCTGTGTTTACCATTTCTCTTCATGTTTCCTTCTGATCCCTTCCTGCCTTTGGATCTTTAGTCCACGACACATACTGCCTTTTTGCTCTTCCGTGGTGAGTGTTCTAATGTTAATTGTCATAAAACAAAATGTGTACAAATTATTGGATGGAAATCCAATTTGCTCTGTAAACCTTTCATTCAAATAACAAAAAATGAAAAGAAGCAACTTTCAGGAAAAAAAACACCCTATTAGTATTATTATTCCTACTGTATTGTTAAGTTAAATATGTTTTAATGTAGCTGGAAGTGTTTAAAACTTTGTTTTTTATGAAAAGAAAAGAAGACTACCACACACTAAGACAAACATTGGACAAACTGACAGCAAATATGAATCGCAGTTCATGCTCCAATTTATGTATAAATTCAACTTTGAGATTTAGGAATGGACCTTGTTCCCAATCTAGGGACAGACTGTATTTCATCTCTCCCATCATGCTGTGATTTAAAATACTCAAAATGCCTTGTAAAGTGTGGGAAATACTCAAGCCCCAAAATCCTATGACTCACTGAGTAATTCTTACGGCAAACCGTACTTCATTTTAGAGTGTTTCCTCTTTTTTGGAGTATTGTTGTTGTTAAGTGCTGTTGAGTTGATTCCAACCCATAGTGACCCTGTATAGGGATTCCAAGGAGCCGCTGACCTTGCAGTTTGAAGCAACTCAGTCCAGTGCATTAACCCACAGCGCCACACCAGGACTCCTTTTTTTGGGGGTACAGCAATTTGTAATCTTGTTGCTGTTGTTGTGTGCTGTAGATTCAGTTCCGAACCTGTATAGGGTTTCTGAAGAGCGGTTATCTGGTAGGTTTGAAACCACCAACCTTGCAATTAGCAGTACCCTTGCTTATCCTACAGGGACATACCAGGACTCAAATATATATGTTCTGGGAGATAATGTCGTTAAGAGAATGGCCTATGGGGTTTAGCTGCTAAGATTTGCATCCCACTTACTTAGTGGTAGAGCACTCAGCTACTAGCCAAAAGGTCAGTGGTCCAAACCCACCAGTCACTCTGTGGAATCACCAGGTGGCAGTCTGCTTCCACAAAGATTTACAGTCTTGGACCCCCCCTGCCCCCCGGGGCAGTTCTACTCTATCCTAATGTCGCTGTGACAGAGGGACTGACTCAATGGTACTGGGATTTAGGTGTATCTCAGTTTCTGTATAAAAAACGGAAAATAAAAGTACCTATCTCAGAGGATGGTTGTGATGATGAATGATGTAATACATGTAAAGCAATTAGACCCATGCAATGCTGGGAGTGAGTCCAGAGGAATGGTACCCCAAATCAAACCACTGCCACTGAGTTGATTTCAACTCAGAGAGATCCTATAAGCCAGAGTAAAATTGCCCCATAGGATTTCCATGACCACAACTTTCAGTATGAGTTGTATCTCAATGTAAAGAAAACAAAAATCCTCACCATTGAGCCAATTAGCAACATCAAGATAAATGGAGAAAAGACTGAAGTTGTCAAAGACTCCCGTTTGCTCGATCACCCATCAACAGTCATGGAAGCAGCAGTCAAGAAATCAAATGACGTATTGCATTAGGCAAATATGCTGCACAAGACCTTTTTAAAGTGTTGAAGAGCAAAAATGTCAGCTTGAATACTAAGGTGTGCCTGACCCAAGCCATGGTATTTTCAGTAACCTCATATGCATGTGAAAGCTGGACAGTGACTAAGGAAGACCATAGAAGAATTGATGCACTTGAGCTGTGGTGTTGGAGGAGAATACTGAAAGTGCCATGGGCTGCCAAAAGAACAAACAGATCTGTGTTGGAAGACTTATAGCCAGAGTGCTCCTTGGAAGCCAGGACAGCCAGAATTCATCTCTCATACTTTGGACATATTATCAGGAGTGACCAGTCCCTGGACATGGATATCAGTTTGGTAAATTGGAGGGTTGGAGAAAAAGAGGAAGACCCCCAATGAAATGAATTGGCACAGTGGCAGCAGCAATGGGCTCAGGCGTACCAATGATCGTGAGGTTGGCACAGGACCACGCAGTGATTCGCTCTGTTGTGCATAGGGTCGGTATGAGTTGGTCCTGACTTGATGGCACCTATCAACAACAACAACAACAACAATCTGTACGAAAGTAGTTTGCCTCATCTTTTTGGTTAGCAGCCAAGTACTTAACCACTGAGGCAGCAGGACTCCTTTTATGAATGATACTAAACATAACCCACTACACACATAGCGACCCTATATAGGGCTTCTGAGACTGGAAATCTTTACAGGAGCAGACAGCCTTACCTTTCTGTCTCTGAACAGCTGGTGGGTTTGAATCGTCCACCTTCAGTTCAACACCTAGCCCACAGCACCATCTAGCTATTACTATTTCTCCTATAAAAAACTTTCTGTCATTACCAAAACTTTTTTTTCAGACATAATTAAGGAATTCTGTAATAATTATTGTTTCAAACATTTTGTGGATTTTACCCCATTATTTTATTTGGAAAGTACAATTTAATTGTACCAGGTATTTCATCATTTTTTCTTTCTTTTTTTACACCATGGTAACTGATCAGGGAAGAAACTACTCATTTCTTATTGTCACAGGTGAATATTGGATGCCAATATTGGATGACACAAAAATAGTTTGTGTCAAAGATCAGTGGCTTCAGAAATATGTTTTACAAATTACCTCTAAAATGTAGAACACAACTGAAACGTCTCAGTGAAAGTAGTTTCTTTCATTTAGATGCTCACACAGTCATCAGATACTGCCATATATTTTCAAATTACCTGATATGGTTGTTACCAAAACTAAGGTCCCATTTTCCTTCCAGTGGTTATCATCAATGCCTTCAAAAAAGCAGGCAGCTCCTTGATTACACCAGAAGGGGGCGTTCAGTTCAGGCCGGAGATGGGGAAATGTGCAGTTTCCAAGTTGGAAAAGTTCATACCATTCCATTGTATAGTTCTTGCCAGTTAAAGTACTCCTGAATCCAACAGCATCATGCATAATTTTCTATAAAGATAATACGTGGAGAAAAGCATGTGTACAGTAACCACCAGTCCAAACAGATGGGAGAAAATGCATATTCACTAGAAAAACTGCCCAGCTGTTCCCCTTCCCTAGTGCTACATTCCAGGCTCTCATCCACTCTGGGCTGTGACTACAGCTCATCTCAGGAAGCATGCTAGGTGGACACACCGGTAACTTCCTTACAGCTTAGAAGTCCTAGCAACCATCATGCCAGGCTTAGGGAGAAACTTGATGACTACAAGGAAAGCCCACCTTGTGAAAGTGTGTATGACAAGGACTGAACATTAACAAGCGATCCTGCCTCCTTGCTTCCTTCTTTCTCATTTCTAGGAGTTGGGTTCCGTTTCAGAATACTGTTGTTATTGCTAGCTGCAATTAGTTGGCCCCAGATTCATGGAGACCCGCTGTATAATAGGGTATAACTGCAGCTTGGTTGTAATCTTGATCGAACAGCCTTGATGGTGCAGTGGTTAAAGCACCTGACTACAAACTAAAAGATTGGTTGTATGAGCCTACCAGTGGCTCTGAGGGAGAAAGACGGGTCCCTCGGCTTCCATAAAGATTGTAGCCTTGGAAACCCTATGGGGCAGTTCTACCCTGTCCTATGTTGTTAAGTGCTGTTGAGTAGCTTCTGATTCACAGTGACCACTGTAGAGGGTTTCGAGAGGTGGGTTTAAACTGCTGAGCTTGCAGTTAGCACTCCAGTGCTTATCCTACAGTGCCACACCAGGGCTCCGCTCTGTCCCATAAGGCCACTAAGTTATAATCAACTCAATGGCAGTGGATTATTTTTTATCTTTATGGAAGTAGTTCACTGAGGTTTCCTTCCATTAAAACTACATGTGAATTTGAGCATCCGACCTTTAGATTAGCTCATTTTTATGATATTAAAACTGATTAAAATTTTTGCATTTGTTCCTGTATCACAAAATTTGATAATTATTTTTGATTGCTTATTTTAAATATGCTAAGAGGAACACCAATAAACATGATTCCAAACCAGTCATTTTAACAGCATTTATTCCCTCTAATTTAATTAGCCCAAGGTCAAGATACATCCTTACCATGTGACCCAGGAGGTCGCCATATTTAAATTCCCACACTGGGGTTTGTAGTCGAAAAACTTCAATGACATCGTCACCCTTCATGGCTGGGATAGAAGAGCCAGTTGGACAGAAAGTATATTTAGCTTGACAGTAAGGGTCTGATTCTGGACGGAAGGAAAAGCGCCTAAGAAAAACAAAGAAACTATCAACTGAGACTCTGACAAGAATTTTCACACATTTTAGATTTTAATTTCACTATCAAGAACATTTTCAAGGAAAACATTCAGAAATCATACTGTAGTGTATAAATATAAATATACACACTTAATTTATTCTGTGAACAGACTATTAACTATGTCTGTAATAACGAATCCAAACCCATCTGTTTATTATTTGGCATTGAGTTGATTTGGATCAAGGTGACCTCCTGTGTTACACAGTAGACCTGTCTTCCATAGTCTTTATGGAGATAGAATGGCAGGCTTCCACAGGCTGCTGGGTGAGTGTAAACTGCCAACCTTTGGGTTAGTGGTCAAGGACAAACCGTTTGCACCACATAGGACCCCTTCATACCTTTAAACCGCCAGTGACAAACACAAAGCACTTTGATAAATGCATGCTTTTCTCTTCCCTGCTCACAGTGTGAGACATTTGAAGGAAGGTATCTTAGTTGTCTAGTGCTGTTACAACACAAATAGCACAAGTGGATGACTGAAAACCAGAAATTTATTCTCTAGCAGTTTTGGAGGTGAAAAGTCCAAATTCAGAGCGGTCTTTGGGGGAAGGCTCTCTCTTTGTTGTCTCTGGGCCCAGCATTCTTTGAAATCTCCTTATGTCTTGCATCAGTCTTCCCAAGATCTAGGAGCTTCACAGTGCTGGGACCCAGGCCAAAGATGCACTCCACTCCTGGCTTTCCTACCTTGGGGGTAAGAGGTCCCTCTTTCTCTGCTCAAGTCTCCTTTTATCTCATATGAAATAAGTGTTGCATGCCACACCTTTGGGAATCTCCCATAAATCAGAGTGGTGGTAGGATGAAGGGTGGTGTAAGGACCCCTGGTATGGTGCTGTAGGATCAGCACTGTGCTTGGAACCACAAGGTGAGCAGTTCAAACCCACCAGCTGCTCCTTGGAAACCCTATAAAGGGTTGCTATGAGTTGGAAGCAACTTGATGACACTTAACAACAACAAGAAGTCCTGGTCGTATAGTAATATACTGGGTTATGCATTGGGCTGCTAACTGCAAGGTCAGCAGTTCGAGGCCACCAGGTGCTCTTTGGGAGAAAGGTGACACTTTCCATAAAGATTGACAGCCTTAGAAACTCTCTACAGGGTTGTTATACGAGTTAGAATTGACTCCACACACCACCATCCCAGCCTTAATCTTCCTATTGGTTTATCACATCAAATCATGGGGAACAACTACATCACAACTGTCAACCCACTGAGAATCCTGGCTGAGACGAGTTGACACAGCCTTTAATGATCACAGCAGGTAACACGTCCTAAAATGTTCATAGATCTGGATCCTATCATAATAGACATACACTTACTAAGTGTATGTATATTTTTCAAATCAGATTTAAATTCTCAATTCACATACTAAACAGAATGTATTGAAATATATTGATTGCTGTTATTGTTAAGTGCCGTCAAGTCGATTCTGTCTCATAGTGACCCCTTATAGGGTTTCTGAGGAGCTGCTGGTGGGTTTGAACTGATCTTGTGGTTAGCAATCCAGTGTTTATTGGTACGGTAGTACCAGTCCAGAACTCCATAAAGGTTATTGTTGTTGTTGTTAAGTTGATTCCAATTCATAGCGACCCTGTATAGGGTTTTCAAGGAGCGGCTGGTGAGCTTAAACCACTGACCTTGCAGTTCTAACCGATCCGTAGTGCCACACCAGGACTCCCCATAATGATTAGTAGAATATAGTTTATATTTTCTAAAGAATTAACCTGCATTCTTTTAATCAGTACTTACTGCGGATTGACTATATGTACCCTGTACAGGGTCGCTATGAGTTGGATACGACTCCATGGCACATAACAACAACAACTATATGTATAACATGCTATACTAGGAAAAAGGGAAACAAAATTAAAATTCTCTTCTACACAGAGTTTGGTGTTGGGATCGGAAAGACATTACACACGTAATTACGGTGCAGTATGGTAAGTGCTGGAGTCCTCATGTGGTGCTGTAGGATAAGCACTGTACTGCTAACTACAAGGTTGGTGGTTCAAATCTACCAGCTGCTCCTTGGAAACCCTATATAGAGTCACTATGAGTTGGAACTGACTCAATAGCACTTAACAACAACAACCACCACAACATAAGTATGATAAGCAAGTGCTAAGGGGCCCTGGTGGTGCAGTGGTTAAGCACTCAGCTGGTAACCAAAAGGTTGATTACTTGAACCCACTAGTGGCAGCCTTGGAAACCTTATCGGACAGTTGTACCCCAGTCCTATAGGTCACTACGAATCCAAATCAGGTGGACTGCAGCAGGACAGGTAAGAAGTGTTAAAAAACTATATAAAACTCCTGGGTGGGCAGAAAGAAGGGAGAAATCAGTTTTGCCTGGTGGGAGGTAGATAAAGAAGGATCTAAAGACCTAGGTTTTTAAAGACTTAGGAAGAAGCTTTGGGTAGAAAAGGGGAGAAAACACCCAAATGTTCAAAGCAGGATGAAGTGGTCACACAAGCATGGCATACTGGAAAATTCTCCAAGCAGCACAGGAGACTAGCATTCTGGCTTGAAATCAGGTTGTGAGAGGTGATGTAGGCAGGGACCTCTCATTTTAGCACAAAAGGAGCAATGGTAATGTAGTGGTTCTGGTTGCTAATCTCACAGTCAGCAGTTCGAAACTACCAGCTGTTCGGCGGGAGAAAGATGAGGCTTTCTGCTCTCATAAAGATTTACAGCCTCGGAAACCCTGTACAGGGTCACTATCGGTTGGAACCGACTCCATAGCACATAACCACAGTGTGAAGGGTACCCTCCGGAATCCTACAACTGGGGAAATCAGGGGAATCCTCTTAAAAGATCTAAGTAGTACATCTGATTTGAGTGAATGTGCTGTAAAATAAATTTTATTTTGTGAAGTACAAGAAGGTAGGGAGAGAAGTCAATTTAAGGCTGAGAGCCAAGTTAGGAAAATTAAATATTTGAAAAATACTCACTTATTCAGAGCCCAGTAATACAGGCAAGAAAAGAAGGTGGCCTGAGTGGGGGACTGTGACTGAATCCAGCATTGTAGCACTAGGAAGAGAAAGGTACATATGGAGCTATCTCTGTCTTTCCACTAAGAATTCTAGGTCCCTAAGGTTCTGGCCAAACCTACTGTTTTGAAATCATAATGGAACAATAAAAATGTCAATCTAAAAAATTAATAAAATCTCGATGCTAACCAAAAATATTAACACCTGCCCATAAAGTTTATGAGATTTGGGCATATTTATTTTATAAGTGTTAGTGTTGTTGAGTGCCGTTGAGTTGGTTCCGACCCATAGCAACCCTGTATAGGTTTTCAAAGGAGCAGCTGGTGAGCTTGAACCGCTGACAGTTCAAACTCACTTTGCAGTCCGGCGCATTAAGCCATAGCACCATACCAGGACTGTGTTGTTGTTATGTGCTGTGGAGTTGGTTCTGGCTCATAGTGACCCTGTACAGGGTTTCCGAGGTGGTAAATCTGTACAAGAGTAGAAAGCCTCATCCTTCTCCCGCAGAACAGTTGTTAGTTTCGAACTGCTGACAGAGAGATTAGCAGCCCGATTTGTAACCACTACTCTACCAGAGCTCCTTGGACTGTGTTGTTGTTGTTGTTGTTATGTGCCGTGGAGTCAGTTCAGACTTTTAGTGAGCCTGTACAGGGTTTCTGAGGCTGTAAATCTTTATGGGAACATCTTTCTCCAGCGGAACAGCTGGTAGTTTCGAACTGCTAACTGTGAGATTAGCAGCCAGATTAGTAACCACTACGCTACCAGAGCTCCTTCCTTGGACTGTGTTAGGAAGCACAAATGATCTGCACTTGATGGCACTGTAGGATAAGAGTTAGACTACTAACCACAAGGTCAGCACTTTGAACCCACCAGCTGCTCCTGGAGAGAAAGATGAGGTTTTCTATTAAGATGTACAGCCTTGGGAACCCTATACAGAGTTGCCATGTGTTGGGAACTGACTCGCCTGCACATAACAATAACGCTAACTTAAAGGATAGTCATATCACTTACCAAGTGAAAGCACATTAGGAAGGGCTGGCAATCTACTTCTCTAAAGACTGTAGCCAAGAAAACTCTGTGGGGAGTTCTACGCTGTAACACGTGGGATGCCATGAGTTGGAATCAACTCAACAGAAACAGATTTTGTTTGCCAAGTTTCAACATGTACAGATTCTTTTCTCAGTTATTTAAGGACAGTTTCACTTAAGCATTATTTATTTTAGGCCAAGGGTGAACTTAATAGTTAAATTATATTATCTTCAACTGAAGAAATTAGATGGGGCATGACTTAATATTTGAAAGTTATACAGAAACACTAAGACCATATAGCCAACCAATTTACATAATTTAAAACCAATTTCCTGATGTCTTGAATATTTCATTTTTATCTTTCATGTACTATTTACTAACAATTAAAACCACTAACTTCAAACCTCATATAAAGCAAGCAAAACCATTCAGTGAGCATTAGTATTAAGGTTTTCCAACACTTGACATTAATCCTTCCAATGCTATAAGAAAGATGCTACAATCATTCCTATTTTCTGACAGAGATACTGGGTAACTTTCCAGATTTGATTCCCACCCAGTAGTCGGGACTCAGATCTCTGCTCTTCGCCACTAGATTATCCTTCCTCTTCAATTCATTAATGTGTCATCCACGTCATCTTCAATGAGCTGAGTGTTTTCAAATCCTGCTCCTGCCGGATGCTACCATCATGTTTCCTTTCTGTACGTTTAATTACCTGACAGTCTCAAACCGGAAAAAAGAACAAAACCCAAAAAAACAAACTCACTGCCATCCAGTCTATCTCTTCATGTAACTATAGGGCAGAGAAGACCTGCCCCACAATGCTTCCTAGGTCCTGATACAGTGGATTAGGCTGCTAACTGCAAGGTCAGTAACTCGAATCTCCCAGTCGCTCTGCGTAAAAAGGTGAAGCTTTCTGCTCCCGTAAAGATTTTCAGCTTTGGTCGCTATGATTCAGAATCCGCTGTGGGTTAATGCACCAGACTTCAAGGTCGGCAGTTGAAGCTCACCAGATGCTCCTCAGAAGCCCTATACAGGGTCGCTATGGGTCAGAACTGACTCGACAGCACTTAACAACGAGTCAGAATCAGCTCAACAGCAAACAACCACCACCACCAAATCTTTACAGAAACTTACTGACACATCTTTCTCCTGCAGGTTGATTTGAACCGGGGCAGAGTTGCCATGTGTTGGGAACTGACTCGCCTGCACATAACAATAACGCCTTGCACTTAGCAGCTGAACCCACTGCGCCACCTGACAGTCTTGTTGTTGTTAAGTGCCGTCGAGTCGATTCCGACCCACAGCGACCCTGTATAGGGCTTCTGAGGAGCATCTGGTGAGCTTGACCTGCCGACCTCACAGTTCACTGTAAGGCCACGTACATTCTCTTGCATTCGCTGTCGCCGACTTGACTGTCCTACTTCCAGCTTTAGAAAGGTGGACAAGCAAAGTGACCAGCTTCCCTGGTCTGCCCGGAACTGAGAGGGCATGAGAGTTTCCAGAATGTGGGAGTGGTCAGTGTTAAAACACAGCGCTAAAGGCCCAGACAAACCACCTTATAAATTGTGCAGAAAGTTAGTATTAATGATCACTATGATAGTGCTTAAGGAGCTCTGCTAGCGTAGTGGTTACGAATCGGTCTGTGAACTGCAAAGATCAGCAGTTCGAAACTACCAGCGGTTACGCGGGAGAAAGATGAGGCGTTCTGCTCCAGTAAGGATTTACAGCCTCGGAAACCCAGGGTCGCTATGAGTCGGAACCGACTCCATGGCACTTAACAACAACAACAACAATGATAGTGCTTAAAAGAAGTAACAGGTCCGGTACTTAAACCATCTTCTCAAACAATTTAAGGAAGCATGAGTTATTTTTATGTGCAAGGCATTTTTTCTTCTAAGATTCTGGACTGCCTGGATACCCTAACAAGATCCCCCGGGCTCTCAGATTGGCTCCACTCTGGGGGAAGAGTCGCTCTGGCAGTTCCACCGCGTGACGCTGAACACCGACACCCGCATGCCAACTCCGCCCACCCTGCCGTGCGCATGCAAAAAGATCCGCGCGCTCCCGTCCGCGCCCCGCCCACACTCACTTGTAAGGCACTGGCCACTGGCGCTGTGCGCGGTCTTCCGGGTCCTGGGACCAGCCAGGGGCTGCTGTCAGCCAGAACAGTGCCAGAGTCCAGCGCCATTGCGAGCGCCCCAGGGCCCCACCGCTCCCTGTCGGTGCCATATGGTGCCTGCCAGTGCTTCCGGAGCCTCCCGAGCCCCGCGACGGCAGACGGCCCTTCAAGCGAGCATGCGCAAAACTGCTCCTCGGGCGATCAGAGCGAACCCGGCAGCCGGGCTCTGAGGGCTGCGAATCCCGCGGGGGCGGAGGATTGTGCCGCCTGATCCGGCCTCCGCAGCACGTGACGCCTCTCCACTTCTTGTAGCCGAGTAAAAGAGGGCAAGCCATCTGACAGCCCGAATAGCTTCCAAAGCTACCTTGCTAGACACAGAATCTCTACACTTTACATAGGGTAAGTTACATATGGAGAAATGATTACCCTTTCATAACATTAAAGTAACACTAACCGAAACCAAAGGAACAGTGTGTTTCTTTATTATAGATTGTTATCACGGGGTCCTTTCCAACCAGGTTTCTGCAGTCCTATGGTCATTATATGTATGGCAGGGCAGTGGGTTAGCTTTTTAAGGAATGAGATCACTAAGACAGTTCTTCGCTTCTACTTCCTTGTCTTGCTCGACCCCATTTTAACTTTGGTCCAGAACTCCTCTGTATCGCCCCATTCTCTCCACAGGGGCCTGAAATGACCCGGACAGCACACTTTGCTCTGCCTCTTCAGAGAGCTGGAGGTGGAGGGTGTTCGGCTTTATATAACAATTTAAAGATCCTCTTCGTGGAGCTTCCTATATATGTTGTTGTTGTTGTGAAGTGCTGTCCAGTCGGTTCCGACCCATGGCGACCCTGTATAGGGTTTCCAAGGAGCCACTGATGTGTTTGAACCCTGGCCTTGTGGTTCAAACCGACTTTGCAGTCCAGCACATTAACCCACAGTGCCACACCAGGAGTCCTGTATATGTTGTTGTGTGGTGCCATCGAGTTGCCACCTACTCCTAGCAACCCTATGCACAACAGAACGAAACACTGCTGCATCCTAGGCCAACCTCACAATTGTTGCTATATAGAAGTCCCATATATACTTTCCCATAATAAAAATCCAGACACAATCGAAACGGGCCTGGGCTCCTCCTTCGGAAAGCAACAACCATTAGTTGTTGTGGTGCCATCGAGTCAATACCGACTCATGGTGACCCTATGCACAACAACGAAGCACTGCCTGGTCCTGGACCAACCTAACAAGACATTGATGCTGCCACTTGGCCAATCCATCTCACTGGGTGGATTCCTCTTTTTCTCTGACCCTCCACCTTACCAAATATGATCTCCTCCAGTGACTGGTCCCTTCTGACAATATGTCCGAGTATGAGAGACGAAGTTTGGCCATCTTGGCCTCCAAGGAGCACTCTGCTGGCTGTAGTTCTTCCAACACAAACCTATTAGTCCTTTTGGCAGCCCATGACACTTTCAATATTCTCCTCCAACACCATAACTCAAATGCATCAATTTTTCTGAAGTCTTCCTTATTCACTGTCCAGCTTTCACAGGCATATGAGGTTACTGAAAATGCCATGGCTTGGGTCTTTGCTCTTCAACATGTTAAAAAAGGTCTTGTGCAGCAAATTTGCCTAATGCAATAATACTTCATTTGATTTCTTGACTGCTGCTTCCGTGACTGTTGATAGTTGATCCAAGAAGAATGAAATCATTGACAACTTCAGTCTTTTCTCCATTGATAAGCATGTTGTTTATTAGAGTGAGGATTAGAGTGAATGAAAATTGTTATTTGGAGGTGATGAATTTATGAGGAAGCGTCAAAAAGTGGAATTAAAAGATACTGGCTCTTTGAGGAAGAATGGCATAGTAGTGGGGAAATAACCGTCTTCACCTGACATAAGCCTATGGCGACAGGAACTCAATATATGCCAGTTCGAACTCATAGTGATCCTATAGGTTAGAGCTGAACTGCTCCTTAGGGTTTTTGAGGCTGTAAATGTTTATGGAAGAAGACAGCCTCAGTTTTCTTCCATGGAGCAGGAGGTGGGTTTGAACAGCCAAACTTTGGGTTAGTAGACCATTGCACCACCATGATGAAGCACTCCTTGATGAAGACAATGGCCAAACTAATAATACATATAAGCTACGTGAGTCCTGGTATGGTGCTGTAGGTTAATGCGCCAGACTGCAAAGCCGTTTAAACCCCAAGGTTGGCGGTTCAGGCTCATCAGCTGCTCCTCAGAAACCCTCTACAGGGTTGCTATGGGTCAGAACCGACTTGACAGCACTTAACAACTATTCTAAGGATAGGAGTTCTGGTAGTGTAATGGGGTATGAGTTGGGCTGGTAACTGCAAGGTCAGCAGTTCAAATCTACCAGCTGCTGCATGGGAGAAAGATGAGACTTTTTGCTCCCATAAATATTTACAGCCTTGGAAACTATACAGGGTCACTATGAGAACACTATGAGAACAACACACAATCACCACCACCACTATTCTAAGGAGTCCTGGTGTGATACTGTAGGATAAGCACTGGACTGCTAACCTCAAAGTTGGTGGTTCAAACCCACCAACCACTCCTCCAAAACCCTATACAGAGTTGCTATGAATTAGAATGACTTGATGGCACTTAACAACGACAACTATTCCAAACACATCAGGTGTTCTTGCTTATTTGAATCTCGTGGGAAGAAAATTTTACATTTCTCTCCCTTAGATTCTTCAAACATCTTAAAAGTACAGTGGGATCAACTATCCTGGTTTCTGTGAGACCTTCACGACTTGCCAGGGTATTATAAACAAATGTTGACTTACGCTTGTCAAGAACACATTACAATCCTTGTCACATAGCCATAGCTTCTCGTTACTTACAATATGTGGTGGTGTTTCATAGTGACCCAATGTGACAGAGTCCAGCTAAGTGCCCCACAGAGTTTCTAATTCCCTTGACAGCAGTGGGTGGGAATTTTCACAGGAACAAACTGCCAGGCTTTTTCTGCAGCCAAGTTGCTGCTGGGTTCAATCTGCAGAACTTACGCTTAACAGCAGCTGAGCACTTTGCCACTGTGCCACCAGGGCACCATAACTAAGCTCTAGAAGGCTCTGAAGGAAGCCCTGGTGGCACAGTGGGTTATGTGCTGGGCTGTTAATGGCAAGGCCAGCAGTTCGAATTCAGTAGCTGTTCCTCAGGCATTCTGTTTCCGTAAAGATTTACAGCCTTGGAAAGGCTATACAGGGTCACTATGAGTTGGAACCGACTCAGTGGCACACAGTAGCAGCAATAGCAGCAGGTGACTCTGAAACTAGGTCTCCATATTCCACCTGCCGCCGCAGAATCATCAAGGCTAACCTGGCTTGTCCAAAGACCTAGCCAAGATGAGAAGTGGAAACATCCTAGGCATAAAATTGGAGTGCAACATGTGCTTTAAAGGGCCTCTGCTAGATCCTGTGTGGGCCTGCATCTCTCAGTGGCTTAAGCACTAATTTAAAAGAATATATTTCCAAATTAGTATTAAAGTTTTTGCAAATCATAGAACCATCTACTAGAAGTGTGCACTAGCACTTACCATCTAGTTCAGGACTTCCCAGAGTTACACAAATTAGCTTCACAGTGACATTAGTCAGTGGGGAGGAATTTCCATTCTGGATTTGAAGTCTCTTGACTCTGTGTGTTTGCAGGTCTAATGCCTAGAAAATCTCTTCACATTGGTCTTAGTTCAATCTCCTATCCATTCTGGCCAAGTTTTGTTCTCTGGTGACATGGTGACATGGTGACAAGTTTTGTTCTCTGGTGACATGGTGACAAGTTTTGTTCTCTGGTGACATGGATTAAGCCTCTTTCCTTTTGGCCATGACGTCAGCTCCCCAGGCCTAAGATGTTTGTAGACTGTTGTTTGAGCCCTCTTTATCCTGGTTATATCTCTCTAGTCCAAGCTTTTACACCTTAAGACTCCAAAGATAGAACT